ACCGCTTTTCAAAAAGCGAAGTTTCTCCCTTGGTTCCCTTTCTCTCGCCGACTCGAACTAATACCTGTCTTAAGTATTGGACCACCAGCTTGAAGTGGTTAAACCTTGTAACCATAGTCACCGCCCCTGCTCCAGATGAATCGCTTGGGGAGTTCTTTTCACAGACAATATGAAAGCAAGATTATAGTCATTTTGTAAATTTCTAATTGGTACTAAGTATACTATGGTAGCAAAATACCTACCGTAGGTATTGTAGAAATAGGATTTTTTGCGGTCAACCTAATTTTCGATTATCGGGACTTGAACAATAGCAATATGCCAAATCATAGTAAATTTGGTTTATATTTATTTTTATGGAATGAGCTTTTAAAAACATGTTTTGCGTAATCTAATATCGCATAGAGACCAAAAAAGGCAACAAATAATAATATATAAATAAGCAAAGTATTAACTTAATTGTGTTTGAATATGTCTTTCAGTTAAGTCCATTATTTCAATGATTTAGTACAGGATTAGTCATCAATATGATTTATTGATTTACTTTTTCTATCCTGTACGAAGGACGGATAATTCAGTTAGTATTTAATATTATGGGTCGTTCTTGGTGTATGCATATGGTGAAAATGAATTAAATAAGCAGGCTTAAGATTTTCTGAAAAGAACTGTGGTTAGAGTTGAAAATAATTATCTGAGTAACATAATCCGTTATTCATGAATTCAGTTATCTTATGTTAGTACGTTGAATACTCTTTTAACGGTGTTCCATATTTGGAACATTGGAGTAGGAGCTCTAACTACTGATGGTTACGGTTGCTTAGTCTGCGTTCCAATGCGTAACTTTGAGCATTTCTGCTTAGATCTTAAAATTGTAAATCCTCAAGTTTGGAAATGTATTAATGTTTGTTTTTTTGATAAAATTGAAGTAAACTTATATTAACGATTGTGGTGTTCAACATATTAGTTTTATTTTAATTTTATGAGAATAATATTAGTTTTATTTAATTTTATAAAACTAATATGCTGTTATTTTATTTTATAAGACTAATAACGTCGTTCAACAGCCGACCCAATTTTTGGGTTTACGACTATTAATGTTCAACTCAGTAACCTTGTTGTTTTGAATCCAATCCAAGGGAACTCTTGGATCAAGCATAGGGAGAAATTTAACTTCGTGGAAGACTTTTTTGATGGAACTAAACCGCATTTTGCGTTATATGGAGAGGAAGAACAGGAGAATCTCCCACGGTTAGCCTGATGGCAAAGGGACTCTAACCCGTGATTAATATATTAGTCATTAAAATACATCAATTTAGTTATTAAAATACTTCAATGCGACCAGCGTTCATGGCTTTTTGCAAAATTGTTTCAAGCCTTTCCAATTTAATACTTTTAGTAATCTTAAAATGATATTATTTTAATGATCGAGATATTCTGCATATTCTAAAGAAGTAATTTTGAAATATAACAAAATGAGCACAATTATTATTTTAGCACTTTTTTGCAAAATTTTTTCAAGGTTTTCCATTTCTTTTTGCTCATCAAATTTTACTTTTTTGTTCGAATTAATTTGCAACTGTTCCTGGAATTTAATTTTTCACTTCTTCTGCATTAATATTACTTATAAAAACGACATACTCTTCTCCACAGACATAAAATGGAGTAACAGGCTCTAGACTGTTTTCCTTATCAACTAAATTCTTATCGGTTACTTATTTCGCAAAACTAAGGCATAAAAATCTCTAAATCTTCCTATTCTGAATCAGAAAGATTTTCTAAGAAAGATTTTGCTTCCGTTGTTATATCTCTCTCAGACATGTCACTAATAGCAAGATAAATTTATAAATGAGGCTTATAAAAGAAGTGCTAACCATTCTTTACCTCACTCGGTAACAGCAGATGCAACTTGAAAATAATATTAATCACAAGAATATGGAAGGAACAAATATCACACAGTGAGAAATATCTTTGACTTGAAATTTTAACTCTATCACAGTCAGATAACAAAAGAAAAAGATTCTGAAAGCCAGGACCTTACCATAAGAAATTTCTTATTTCAAAAATAAGAATTTCAACAAAAGAGAAAAGTACTGATAATGAAAAAATGCTTACTTTGCATTAGCGATAGAGTTAACATCTGTCGTTATTATTAGTCATCTGTAAATTGAACAGAAATTGAACCTTAAGATTAGTTTCGATTTCCACCACTCTTCTCAATTTCAACATCATTATTTTTATTAAATCACTGTCATAATAGCTATTGAATTACAAGTACTCAGCGAAACTTGATGAATCATATGATTTCTAAAAACAGAGCTCGTAAAATATTTGTTTCAAGAATAGAATAGTATAGATATAGAATAGTATAGTATAGAATAGAATAGAATAGAATAGGCTTTGAACTAATATTTTAATTTTAATATTTTAAAATAAAGGCTGGAATAAGATTCTTAACAGACAGTTATTTTCCTTTTCGAAAGTTCGTAAAATAGTGTAGTCGTCTCATAAAGATTAGATAGCGGAGAACTTGATAACAAAAGGTAACAAATTATATCAAAGTTTTAAAATTCATGAAAAATTAAATAATTTTAGAAACGGAATCAAACTGAAAGCAAAAACAACTTCATAATATAAATATTAAATGTAGGAAAAATATTAATTGCTCGATAAACTCGAACTCAAAGTCCATATTTTTTTTTTTTTTTTTTTGGAAAACTGGCAAGCCAATGGTTAAATATCTTGTACCTTTTAAAGGATTTCTTACATTTAATTAAACAGAAGCTAAAAAGAAAACTTCAATTCGGAATCCTAAAATTATAGTTATAAGATAAGGGGGGAGCACCCTCTTAGTTAATAGGAGTTTTTTCTATTAAAGAAATTTACATTAGTAATATTCTCATGTTTAATTATTAGGAATTAAAATTGTAAAATATATTAATTAGAAGAGAAGAATTGCAGAATTGTAAAATAAATTAATAATTAAAAAAAGGCAACATCGTATTGGTGACCTTCATAAAATATGATTCATTGGAGGGACCCCTATTAAATGGGGATTTTTATTCATTAATATATCCAATGTAAATGAAATTATTATGCTCAAATTCGAAAAAAAAATATTTAAAAAACTGTCGGAATCACATCACATTTTTTTTCGATAAATTAAGATTCTGAAGGAAGAAATGGGAAAGAGAAATGGAACTTCAATTTTTCTAAGCTGTTATCACTTAAAAAATGATATTTTTTAGCGTTTACTTCAGGAGAATATCTTTTTTTCAAAATTCATAAAAATATAAGCTTTAATTTCTATTAAAATCACTTTAGGAAGGAAGAGTTTTAGTACCCCTTCTGGAAGAGGGAACTTTCTTTTTAATTGCTGCAACCCATATGAGTACTTTCCCAAAGTTTCAAAACATTATATTTTTTCTTCTTTGTTCACAATTTTTTATATAATTTGGTAGAACAAATAAAATCTTCTTTATATTTTATTTTCAAATTGTTTTTTGGATATATATTCATATGCATTTTGTTTCAAGACGAGTTTGTGAAAGAAAAAAATTAATATTGTGGTTAAATGTGCTTTTCTAGAAAACAAATCCGCTTTCAAGAAGCAAAAGTATTATGGGCTCCATAAAACCTCCTTTATTGCGGTCACACATGCTTCAACCATTTTTAACTGTCCTACTTTGAAACTATTTTAAATTTTTTTTAAATAAATGAATTTTTTATTCTGAAAACAAAGGTATCGTTTTTTTTTTTGCATACAAAAATGTTACTTTTACCTGGAGTAAAGAAAGCAAAAAAGATTTTAAGAACGGTTGTAAAAATATATTTAATATTTTTGAAAAATTGAATTTGCAAATTAGATTTTCTTTCAATTAATATGTTCACGTTTTAAAATTTAATTAGATAATTGCTATCCGAATTAAAGATCGAAAACGCACATGATGGCCCAAAATAATAACTGTTAATGTTTGAAAATATTTTGAGCAATTTAGTTTTTGACGAAATGGAGTTTTCAAAACAACTTAGGTCAGAGAAAAGTCACACATTTCTTACAAAGGTCACAACTTAGGTCACGCCTATCTTTAAAAAAAATTTTTTTAGATCCCCTTGTCTTTTCACTTTAAACAGGAAGGTTACAAGTCACGACAAGAATTTTGAATTTTTTTGCCTGGAATCGCTACACAGTTTTATTTCGACAAACTTAATAGTTCCAGTGCCACTTGTTTGCAAGTTCCGAGACTCTTTCGAGTTACTGAATGTCTTGCTTCATTTTTCTCCATTCTTTCATCATCAGAGTTAATAGAATCATGAGTAGGAGACTGAGCATCGATCATCTTCATTGCTCGAATCTTTATTGTTTCATTTTCACAATTCTTTCATCATAAGAGTTGGTAGAATCATAAATAGGAGAGTGAGCATCGATCATCTTCATTATTACTCTAATTTCTATTGTTTGTTTCATTTCCCAAATCTTTCATCATAAGAGTTGGTAGAATCATGAGTAGGAAAGTATTTATCAATCCCAAGTAAAATTGCTTGAAAATTAAAGTGTAAAAATGATATTTTTCAATAAACTGCAATAATTTCTTTATAAAAACTAATTTATTCTCCCATTATGGAAGTAATAAAGATATAAAAAGATATAATAGAAATAGTTTTAATTATTTTTTGTTTAATATTTAGCACCTAATTAATATGTAATGAGACCAGAGTCAATTCGTCGAATTTCCATATTAAGTTTGCACTAGTCATCTGCGTAAATCATGCAAGTGATTTAACTCTAATTATTTCCTTCGCCTTGAGTTTCTTAAAATAAAACAAAAAGTAATGCAAATTCTTATACTATTTCTGCATTAAACTAATTTACTATTATGACGTACTCATTTTTTTTCGTTTTGATAAATACTTTTGTATTTTAAAAAAAAATGTAGATTTTTATAAGAGTGCAAAAAATTGTTTTATATAATTTTTATAAATTGTTTTATAAATCTTTTTTTCAGTTGAATTCATAGGGGGAATAAGATGCCTTGGAAAAGGATGATAACTTGATTCTACAAGAAGAAATAAAGTCGAATTAAGACAATGCTGGAAAATGTCATTTTCATGTTAATCATTTTCTACCTACAAGGTAACTTTCAACATTTTAATGTATCAAAGATTTTTAACATTCCATTTTTCTCTCTATTTAATACTTTTAAATCTTACTTTGATAACACATGAAGAGTTATATTTTGAAAAAGAAACTGCATAATTTTCTTAAAGTTTTTACGACAGACTGTGATCTCATATAAGAGTGAAGAATTTTTTTTCCAACATATCCTTAAGTCGATTTATGCAAATGCTTTCTAGAAAGTTATGCTACATAGCCTATTGTATTTAGTGTAATTGTAGTTTAAATGAATGCATATAAAGCTATATAGTTCTAAAATTTTTCTCTAAAAGAAAGCTTTAAAACATAAATTTTAAGTATGAGCAAATTGAGCATTTTATTTATTTGAATCATATCGATTTTTCTTTGCTTCTTTCTATTTTAGATTTCACAAAAGTTGTTTATTATATTAGATCATTTATAAATTATTGAAACTTCTGAATCAATATAGATTTCATGTTTAGGTATAGTTTTGCTGTTAAGAATATGTTAAAAGTTCAACTTTAATTGAAATTTTTTATAGAAAAAGATAAATAACTAATGATTTATTCCAGTGCAAATATATTTATTAAGTGAAACGTATCACATATAAGGAAAAAAAAAAGCTATTTTCACAATGCGTGAATAGTTAAAATGTTTAGGTATATTGTTTGCTACTTAGAATATTTTATTTATTCAACTTTTTTTGAAATTTATTATAAAAGTAATAAATAAATAATTATTTATTTCAATGGAAAAATATTTATCAAGTAAAAAGTATCTCATTTAATGAAAAAAATTATTTTCACAGTGAATAACAAATTCAGTATATTTTTTATTTAACTACCAAAAACGTTTACAGATAGATTCCTGAAATCGAAAATTAAAGATTCCAGTTGTACTAAGAAAAAAAATACAGCGCTTGTAAATTAAATTTCTCGAAGCCTTAAATAAAAATTATAAAAGTCATTTCCCACGCACGCAGGCTCGTATTTTTCGATATCGTGAAATATTTTCGGGTAAAATCCCCAATAATAAAAAAAGAATTAAGTGGCTTTCGAAATATGCTTGAGGCAATTTTGAGCGAAGTACAGGAATACCTTTGAATAGAAATGGTTTTTTTATTGAAAAATGTTGTCATCAGAAAAAAATAGAAGTATATATAAAAAATACAAAAAAGTCCATTTCTTTAAAAATTAATTTTATTGAACATGCTTCATTTATTATCAAGAATAGTAGAATAAAAATTGAATGGAATATTGAATTTTTTCCTTTACAAATCAATCAAAGAATTTATAAGCTAAAATCTACTTGGTAAACATTAATTTCATTGGGTTTCTCACAAGCCTTTAATAAATGTTAAAATCTCAATTCGTTACATTTTTATTATTAATAACATTTTCACTTTAGTAATCTTGTTGTTTGGAATGTAGCAAAAATTGAAAAATAAAAACAAGTATGGAGAAAAAAAATTTTTCTTCGAAATGATAATTTCCTTTAAATATTTAATAACAATTTTACAATAAATAAAGTTTTATTATTTTGAAACTTCGCTATTTTTAGAAATGTTGAAGACGAGACAATAAATATATATAATTGAAAAGCTATTTCGGTGAAATGTTTTATCATTTCAATGAATAAAACCAAATGCCCATTTAAGGATAGCTTAAAACTTGAACGATTTTAAAGTTTTTATGCAAATATCAGAAAAATAAATAAAATTGAACTAACTTTATTAGGAACCAGTTAATTTTAGAGAAGTTTCGTGGAATGAAGGGAAATACACCGGCTATAGACAATTGTCTGCCAAGGAAGTAATGAAAGTTAATGATTCAAAATTTAATGACCAATCACAAAATGGTGGCAATGTGCTGGGTATTAGGCACCAGCCACTCTTACTTCCCACTCTAGCTGATACCGATCTAACTAAAGTTGCGTAGGGTTCAAGCCAACTGAATCAGATAACTACCAGTTCAGAAATCTGGGTACTCTGTTTTTCAGAATGACAGTATAATGCTATAAACACTGATCTATCCAGCCTATTTAGTATAATATTTCAAGAAAAATTGTTTTATTGTGAATGCAAGAAATACTAAAGACGCGTACATGGGTTTCAGTAATAAATTTGGAAGTATTGTGTTAATGTGTCGTTAAAAAATATCAAAACTTCTTTCTTAAATTTTTAAAATTGTATTTTAAAACTTAAAAATATAATTTTGATTATTTTGTTTTACTAAAAATATTATGTTTCAAAATTATCAGTTTTAAACTTATTTTCACAATTAATTTGTCGCTTTACTAAACTTAAAAAATTTACTATTTTCTTCAAAGCACTATTTCTTACATAATATAATTTTCATTTGCCTTCTTGCTAATAAACTTTTCAAAAATTCTAAATTTAAAATGTACATTTTTATTCAAAGTACTATATCTTCCATAAATTACACTATTTCCTGCATTTGCCACTTTGCAAAGAAACTTAAGAAATTCTGAATTTAAAATTAACATTCTTATTCAAAGCAAAATTAACATTCTTTTATTATCTTCCATAAATTACACTATTTCTTACATTTGCTTCTTTGCTAATAAACTTAAAAACATCTAAATTTAAAGTTTAAATTTTTAAAGCAATATTTCTTACATAAATCTGAAAGTCTTATCTTAATTTCTGTGAACAATATGAAACCAAATATTAAGAATTTTTAAATTTCATGCATTTAATTTTTTTATATTTTGAGGTACTTAGTTGTAAAATTTGAAACAAATCATAGTAAAAAGCCCGTAGAAAAATATTTTTTAAATTTTATACTCAGTAAATTATAATAATAATGGCTTTCACTATTTAAAAAGAAATTAATAACATTAACAAACTGTTTTTGTTTAGTTTTTTAATCACACATGCATAGCGATATCTTTTTAATACACTATGCCCACTTAAAATTTCGGTATCCATGTTTATTTAGTTTTTTAACAATAAATGTAAACCAAAGTTTAATAAAATGACAAAAAAAGTTAGTGTACTTAAAAAATTCAAAGGATGTTTTGGTAACGGGATTGCTTAAAAAAAGTAAAATGAAAATAGTTTTGTAAAAAAAAAGATGACTATTGAATTGCAATTTACAAACTAACAGTGTCTAACTTTAAAAAATCACAAAATTCTTATGACAGTTCAGGTGTTTTGCAAAAAAGGCTAGTTACCACCATTTTGTTCTTAATGAAAGCATAGTGTCGAAGAGAAATACTTTCACATGCTTACCAACTTTAAAAAAATCAGTGGAAAAATAAAATCTTTCTAAGTATTACACATTCAATTAAAAAAAATTCGAAACACAATGTAAACAAATCTCGAAAGATTCTCCCAAATACTTGCTTCGAGGAAAAAGTATACGTCTCTTGAAATTACCAGGTTAATTAAGAGATCACGTAAAAAAACACAAATTACTAAGCGTATTACCAAATTTCTTTTCCGATAATTTCACTCCTAACGCCTTTCGTATGTTAGTCAACAGCAAATTCCAAAAATACTTCTAACTGCATCGATTTCTTCCCCTAATCTTCCGTGAGTTTTGAGGATTTTTACCTGCAGATTCAGAACTTCCCAATCTTTTTTTAGTTCTTGAGTGTCTTCCCTTTTATTACTATCTTTTCAACCCTCTCTTGTTTTAAAGTAGATTTCCCCACTCGTTAAATTCTTCGAGAAGGTTTCATCGGTGCAACAGAGAAAGAGGTAATTTCGTTAAGAGTTTTCGAACGTAGAATAGTTTTTGTAAGAATTTTCGATGATGAAAAAAACAACTGCTATCTAAGAACAGATATTTGTTATTATAAATATATAATTGGTGTTATAAGATTTATATTGTAAGCTTTTTCGTTTGTTACAGTTCAATCTTTTAATATTTGAAAATTTAATTTTTTTACACATAACATATACTTTTCAATAAACAAAAATTTCCATTGGTATGTAATTCAATCATCATCATCATCATCATCAATGACTCGACAGCTCAGGGTGGGCCTTGGCCTTCTCAAGATATTTTTTTCCAGGCTGACCTTTCTCCTGCAAGTGTTTTCCAGTTTTTATGTTTTAAGACCAAAAGGTCTTTTTCTAGATTATCTATTCATCTCGAATTCGGCCCCTTTTCGTGAGCCAACTAGTCTGACATTGAAAACTCTTTTTTTAGTACTGTCTTCGTCCATTCAGATAACGTAGCCTACCCATTTTATTCCTTGTTGTTAAAGTTAAGGTTCATTATCTGAGAGATAAAGCTTTAGATTTGTTTTTTGACCACACACCATTTTTTGACCATTTATAATAATTTCTTAAAAATAGTCATATTTTTTTCGAATTTTATCCAATACTTTATTACGATATAGATTTCGTAACAGTGTACATAATAAAAAATATTTTTTGAATGAAAATATGCATTTCTTGTTTATTTTTGGCAAAAATAAGGAATTTGCAATTATGTTTAGTTTACCACGAATCAGTTTTACTTTTCAAACTTGTCCCGCAGAGGACTGTTCGTAAAGAATCGGTTCCCAGTAGAACACTGAAGTCAGGTATGACTGGCTGCGGTCTGTAAGTGGGAGGGGAAAAACTTCGATCAGCTTGCGTAGGGACCAAGAGTTCGTGGTATCGATCCTCGTTAAACTGTTCTACCATTAAGTGCTCAATTTCACGCGCAGATCGGCAAGCTACCGAAGCAGGGGAGTCATCCCCTTTGCAGAGGATCAAAATTACAATAACTTGTCTTCGTATCATCCTCATTGATGTTTCCCAGATCATCGCCAATAGCCCTTTGTGCAACTCTAGTGTGACGTAAATAAAGTAACTACCTACCTACCTTTTGAAACTTAAAGGAATAGGAAAAACGCTTTGGCTAAATGTTTTGCTGCAAAAACATAATATACCTTTTTAGTAGTTTCTGGGTTCTTAATGCATTAGAAATCGAAATAGCTGAGAATTCACTAGACGCTTGGAGAATTTTTTTTTTACGAAG